GAGATTTCAAGAGTAAACAGTGAAGGTGGGAAGGGGAGGGAGCACTAGAACTGAATATGATTACACAGTTCATTTTAAAGGTGAATTAAGTCAAGGGGGTGGAGGTAGGAAAACGTTCTGAAATTGACTGTGGTAATGATTATACAATTCTTGACATGACTGAATGATTGAATTTTATGACATGGATTACGTGCCAATAAAGCTGGAAAACTAAAACAAATTTTTCCAAGGGGGTTCTGTTGTGCTATTTATATTAAGGCAGAGGTATCAAGGTCAGAAGGTCATTGCAAGTGCTTCTGGAGACCCAAAGGGGTAATCTTGATATTTATATTTTTTCCCTCCCAAAGGCCACAAGATGGAAGCTTATTACGAAGTTTTAAGAACACTGAAAGCTGTATTGGTAAGAAAAAGGCCAGGAATGTTGTGTCAAAGAATACTTCTATCACAACAATGCACTTGCTTATTCTTCAAGGGTAGCAAAGGCTATCCTAAAGTCAATTGGGAAATCTTATCCCATCTCCCCTCAGCACTTGATCTTGCCCCTTCAGACTTTTTTACTCAAACAATATTGAAAGGAACACAAACTGAATCATCAAAGAGCAAATGATTCTCTGGGGAAGGGTAGGAGATACAAACACCACCGTCAAAAGTATATAGACCTAGCTGGAGGATATGCTGAAAGAACATTTGCTTCACACTCTGATATTTTTCTTAATAAACGTGTCTACATTTTAGCATTTTTATTATCGTATAGGGGTAGGTGTGGGTATACATACACAACTGACCTTCAAGCAACATAGGGTTTAAGACTGCCAACGCACCATAGTAAAATATCTGCAAAGAACTTTTGACTTCCCTAACTACTAATAGCCTACTGTGAACGAGAAGGAAGTCTTACTGATGACAGTCAACTGACATTATATGTCCCGTGTATTCGATACTGCACCTACATAATCGCTGCACTTTGAATGAGATAAAAAGGTCTTTCACTAAAGGTGCCAAGTTTTAGCACCTGCTGGCATAGTTGCAGAGTAATTCCCTTCCCCTTTGGTCCTTACATGGGATTCATTGATCTTGAATGATTCACTGATCATGGTGGAGGGCTGAAGCTGCAGTGTCTATCAATCAATTCAACTTTTTCTTGTCCTGACTTGTCTCTGCTTCTTGGGAGCACTTGCAGCACCATTAACAGCACTTTGCATTGGGTCCCCAGTGTAACAGGCATTACAGTTTTGTTTTGTTTTACAAAGCCTAGTATATTAGTGGATGTGCACAGGTGAAACCCTTGTAAATCAAGGGTTAACTGTAGAGTCATAATATATAATACCACACCTTAAGGGATAGAGCTATGGATACCTCTTAGGCAAAACAAATACCTTGAAAGATCAGTATTCTGAGTGTAAAGGCTCAGGACAAGTTTTGTGGGACAGTTCAGTCAATTAGCATGATATAGTTCCTAAAGTTATGTTCTGCATCCTATTTTGGAGACTGGTGTCTGAGTCGTAAAAGCTTGAGAATGACCATTTGAGACACAGACACTGCTAAGTGCTCATCTGAAGTAAAAGAAAGAAGCGCACCAAGGACTGAAAAAGAAACCGATCTACAGGACTGAACGTCTAAACTTGGAATTGGCAAACTTTTGTGATGAAAGGGCCCTCCAACAATTTAAAAATTATTTGAAAGCCATAAATATATTTTTACAAATAAAATCACCATTATATGAATAATATCCTTGAAAATTTTTTTCGGTTTTACTTCAGAGCCACATGTGGCTTGCAAGACACAGTGCCAACCAAGGCTTCATCTACCCTGAAACCACCTACTACAACCTACCATTCTAGTCAGAGCCACAATAAAACGGGCCCTGATAAAAATGGGGGGAAATGAAAAACAAATTTGCTAAAAAGACTTACTAGATTGACTGAAACTGAAGGGTTCCCTGGTACTGTTAACTAAGTTACTCTTTAAACCCTATACCAAAACTAGCCTGAGGTCACTGATTAGTTAAACCACAGAATGGCTCACAAAATAAAGGCCAGCAGCCATCAGTACTGCGTTACTTTTCGAAAAGTTTCTATATGAGACCAAATATTAACAATTACTTTTAAAACAAAGATGAGAAGTTAAGGAAGGAGGGAAAATAGATGAATGGAAATGGAACCTCCAGAACTGAAGAATATTTACACACTGAAGAATGTAACCACATCATGGAGCAGTATGTTTACAAACCAGAGTAAATCTTTGCCAAAAACACATATAAAAACTATTTTTTAAAAGGCATTATCTGTTATCAATTTACAAGACCTAATGAAATACTGGTTCCTATGAGCCTTGCCTCAAGATTCTACCATTCTGACCATATATAAAATGGACCCAAATTAAAAAAAAAAAATAGAACAGAAGTAAAATTCCTAAAACAAAAAGCCAGACCTAAAAAGTTTCCCCCAAATGGGAAACCCCTTGGGGGTGCTTAAAGTTTTTATTGTCAATGGGGGTGCCAAGTGATTTCTCCCCCACAGAAAAAGGGGCAGTTAGACATGAAGTTTGGGAACATACTGCCTAGAAGAAAGCTCAAGACTAAAGCCCTAAAATTTAGCTCTTTGAACTTAGAATGAGAACTATTACTCAAGGTCATTTTCTAGCCCACCGAACAAATCAAAGCAAAACCAACCCACTGCCATTGAGTCTGTTCCAATTCATAGTGACCACATATAGGGTTCTGAGGCTGTAAATCTTATCATGGGTGCTCTTAAACCATCTACTATTTGAGACCAAACTGTCAGCATTTACTTAAAAGGAAAGATGAAAAGGGAAGAGAAGCTAGATCCATGGAAAAAGAACAAAGGCTGGAAATAAGAATACTGAGAACAAGTACAGGTATCACGGAACAAATTGTTTAAAGATTGATAAATGGGAACCGAATTTGCTAAACTTTCACCTGAAATGCAATTAAAATATTTTATTTAACCATCGCCAGGTGGTTTTCAACCTGCTTTTTAAAAGTGGCCCAAAACAACTAAGTTGGAGGTCAAAGTATTTTAGTTATATACATCTACACTGCAGTGAATTGCCATAAAATGGATTCCACTCAGGAAATCCTGTATGGGTAAAGTAGAACTGCTCCCGCTTTCGGGGTGTGACCCTGCACAGGCAGATCACTAAGGTCTGTCCTCCAGTTCACAGCACTCAAACGCTTGACCATTTGCACTATCAAGTATTCTTCTCCGTAACAGTTAAGTGTCCTATGTCTTAGCATTGTTCCTTACACCTTACAAGCCTAATTCCAAATCCTACCTAAAGTTGAGAGTCAAAGTATCAAATTGTTTTTAATGCAAAAATCAATAGTCTAAGTTATGAACCATTTCCACTCATAAACAAAAGTTTCAAAATTTTTTGTCATCATTATGTTCTTGCTGTAATGCAGCGATGGAAATAAAAAATGATCAAAGCTATAGAACTTTAATATATGGAACTCTCATCAATCATAAAACATCAGAGACCTAAATTAGCACTTTAAATTTACATTCTATTACAATCTTAAGGAGCTCTGGTAATGTAATGGGTTACACTATCAGCTGCAAATGTTAATACTCAAAATAGATATAATTCTACATATTAAAGTCTTCTAAAAGTAACATGGTTTTCCTCTTGCTATTGTGAAGATTAAGACTGGACCAACTCGCAATTCAAGAGTGGAAACTAAGCGTGTACCATACATACTCGAGTATAAGCCGTTTCCCAGCACATTTTTAATGCAGTTTTTGTGGCAAAATTAGGTGCCTTGGGCAGAGGATATTTGGGTCAGCTTATACTCCAGTATATACGCTATGTGCTAAAAACTAATAAGAGTTTTGAAAATTGGCATCTTGTTGGGTCATTTTGGTTTTTTAGTATCATCTACATAATTAAACACAAATTAGTTATTTTGCATTTTTCCAAGCAAACTGTTAAGACTAACTCAGAGGGGTGAAAAAAACAACTGGCATTTAATGTTTTTTTTCCAAAGGATTCCATCTTAAGCATGCTATAGAAAAAACATCACAGTCGAGTTCTTAAGTGGGTACGACGAGTAGAGAGCACTTAGGTCCCACTCATCTATGTGACCATTAAATCAAGCATTAGGACATCGGTTTTCTCCTTTCTAAAATCAGAATGCTAAACTACCACCACAGTGAAGCCTCTGAGGACCAGAGAAATTATGCATCACTTAAAGCTTACAGACTCCCATTCGATCTCAGAAAGAATTCTGAAAATCGGTAAGAATTAGGAGAGCCAGAAGAGTCCTTTACACTGAACCCGAAGAAACTTCTCACTTTCCTGTCCCAAAAGAAAAGGCTGCACTGCAAGGCCTCTGCAAATTAGCCATTTGTAAAAACAACTCTTGCCACACACACGAGCACACAACAGTGGACATGACGTTCCTTTTGAAAATAGCCCTAACTTTTTAAGTTTCCAATTCAGAACATTTGGAAGCAAGTCTAATAAAATGTTGAGCATATGTTACAAGTTATCTATCCTAGAAAGTTTATGGGTCAGAATTGTAGCAGGATCTACCCCGTTTGCCAAGTGAATAAAATGAACTGACACTTAAAACATCCACAAATCTAAATATGACCAAAAGGCTGGTCCCAGGGCAATAAGATAAAATACCACCCCCAAAAGGAATGTGAAGCCATCAATGCCACAAGATCCTGGCAATAGAGTTCTTTTTATGTCCAGAAAGGTCCTGAGTAGGCATTACTTCTTCCTTTCTAAGGCTTTCACATTATGAAGCTCTGAAAGGTCCAAAACAAAAATGTAGATTTTTAAGTAAAATTAATCAACATACACAAAATATTGAAATGCATGCATCACTATGCCTATATACAGGATGTACACTTCATCTATGCTTTCAATGGCAGTGATTAAAATGAGGGACTGGAAGGTTGACACAGATGACTAATTCTTCCCAAATTGGTAGGACATAAGTTTATAACAGTGAATACATGTCTTCAACTCACATTGTTTCTCCCGTCTTGGCTACATGGCAAAGAAACTGATCCAGGACAGGACAAACTTCCTTTTTCCCTCTCTTCTCAAAATCTAGACGAGGAAAGAAAGATCACCAGTATTTCACAAAACCCATCTACCGTTCCCAATACCTGCAAAAAGCAAACTTTTTCTCCCAGTCCCTCTCCAAGTTAAGAAGTAATAAAATTACAACCAGCTTCTCCACCACCTCCACCCTTCCAAGCTTGGCTTCCAAAATGTCACCCTCTTCATTGGTATCAAGACGCCTCCAAAAGGGGGCACTCGCCCTCTTCAGCGACCAGCAGAGCTTCTCCGAAGTGTGGTCACCGGGAACGTCGGGATGCGTCTTCACTTGGGTCAAAACTCAAATCCTCGGGCACCAGCCCCGTAAACTGCTTCGTTAGGAAGGTAACTGGCCTAGCCAGTAACAAAGGCCGGCTGCTCCGCGAAGCCTCCCCCACTCCCCGCCCCCAACGATGCTGGATGTCAAAGTATTATTTCCCAAACCCTGAAATCACGATATTCCAAGTTTGGAATCACTGCTCGGAAGCCTGTTGCTTGCAAGGAGACCTCCTAGGAATCAGGACACGTGGAAAAATGCCTTGAGAAGCCCTGGAAAGCTTCCTAAGAGAAGTTAAAAGTTGCTTTACCAGCAGCACCCTCCAAAACACCCCCCACCAACCTGTACTTTTTCTCACCCCACGATGCCAGGCGTGCGGGAGCCGGGCGGGGAACCGAGCCGGCCAGGGAGGGGGCTGGGCCCACGGCCTGTCTCCGGAGGGCTGGGAGAGGGGCCGGGGCCCCTCCGAGAGCGTCCCCGACTCCCCTCCCCCAGTCCAGACGCCGGCGGCAGACACAAAGCCCAGAGCGGGGCGGGAGGGAGCTGCCCACAGGGCTCCCCGCCCCTGGGGAGGCGGAGGGGGGATGGGAACCGGAGAAGCGCCCACGGGCCCGCGCGCTCGCAACCACCCGCCCTGAAAGATAAGGACGGCCGGCCGCGGGGGTTGAGAAGGAAGAGAGAGGGGACCGCTACCCCCACCTTTCAGCGCCTCCTGCAGCCTCTCGACGTCCATGGTTTCCCGGAGTCCCTCGCAGCCTCCGCCTCCCACCGCGGGTCTCCCCGAGACCGGAGCGCCTCCCCCCACCCCCCCGACACCCGCCCCCTCCCTCGCACACACTCCGGCACGCAGGCGACCGGGGGGGGCACCGAAGGGAGCCGGGGGAAGCGAGCGAGAGAGCGAGACCGAGAGAGCGAGCACCTCCCCGAGCCACTACCACCAGCCCTCCAACATGGCGCCCGGCACGTCACCGCGCGCACGCTCCCCGCCGCCGTCCGGGCGCCCGCTGCGCGCTCTGCTCTGGGAGCGCAAGGGCGCGTGCGCGCGGAGGCGTGCCGCCGTGCGGTCACGGCGACCCTGGCCGGGGCCGCGCCGCTTCTACGCTTCTGCAAGGCGTTCCTCGGCGGGACCACGCGGTGCTGCAGAGCAAACGGGTAGGGAAGGGGTTTGAACCCAACTCCCTGGCTTTGACTCCCAGCCGTGGCCAAGCCGTGTGACCTTGAGCAGTTCACTGATCCTCTTGGAGCTTCATTTTCCCCATTCGTTTGACAAGACCACTGGCACCAACTGCCTACACAGCTGCTGTGAAAAGTGAGTGAGCGTGTGGACCCCCAATCTTCAGAATATGAACCAAAACAACAACAAAAACACTCTGCATTACAACTGCTTGATTTGGTTTATTAGTACTAATAACAGTAACGGGGTCAGCTCTGTGCCTGAATGTGAAGTTCTGCCACTGACCCAGCAGTGAAGAGAAATCATGTACACAGCAAAGGGCTAGAGAGTCAAGCTTTGGATCAGCCGAATTCAAATCCCAACTCCACTACTAACACCCTATGGGACCCTTGACAAGTTACATAAACGACCCACCCCTCAGTCTCCATATCACAACATGGGGATTATAAAATAGCAAAGAGAAAAAAATAAAATAGGAAAGAGAATCGAGTGAGAGGGTGACATGAAGCAGTTATCACATCACCTGGTACTGAGTTAATAAGGTAGCTACTGTTTTTATTACCATTGGGATTGTGATTACATTGCCTGGACACCCAGACAAAAGCCCTGGTGGTGTAGTGGGTTAGGCAGGTGTTGGGTAGCTAACCATAGTTCAGCAGTTTGAACCCAGAAGTTGCTCCATGGGAGGAAGATGAGGCTCTCTGTCTGCTCCCCTAAAAAATGTAGTCTTCAAAATTCTAAGGAGCAGGCCCACTTTGTCCTATGGGGTCGATTCAATGGCAGTGAGTTTGCTTGGGGGTTTAGGTGCTCAGGCAGGTAGAGAGGGGTTCCTCAAAGTTATTTTTCAACACTAACATTTGATAAATGGGAAAGCTGAGGCACAGTGAGCAAGTCTGGCAAAACAGTGATAGCACCCAGAATGGTGGGCTCCTAGCCTTTGTATGAATGTTTATTTTATTTTTAAAGATCATTGTATTGGAGGCTCTTACAGCTCTTAAAACAATCCATACATTAATTGTATCAAGCATATGTATGGACATTTTAAATGCTCTTTTGTGAACTGTTAAAGGAAAAGGCCTTGAATTGTGAAGACATTCTTATCCCAAAGCCTAGCAACATGCCATGAAAGAAAAAATATAGCAACTCACTGCCATTGAGTTGATTCTGACTCATGGTGATCCTATAGGACAGAGTAGAACTGTCCCTGTGGGTTTCCAGGACTGAAACTCTTTCTGGGAAAGGAAAGCCTCATCTTTCCCCCAAGGAATGGTTGGTGGTTTTGAACTGCTGACCTTGAGGTTAACAGCCCAAGATGTAACCTACCAGAGCTCATAGCGCATGAAAGAAAAGGTGAGCTAATTCTTGACTTGTCTTAAACTCATTGCCATAGAATCTATTTTAACTCAAAGTGACCCTATAGGGTTTCTGAGGCTGTACATCTTTACAGGAGCAGATAGCCTCATCTTGCTCCCAAGGAGCAGCTGGTGGGTTTGAACCAAAGAACTTATGGTTGGCAGTCCAATGTTTATCCTCCACAACGTTACAAATTTGTGTGCAGCCATTACAACTGATGAAACTTAAAATATAGTGGCTGTGACCCATACCCTAGATGGCAGATGCTGGCAAAAGCCTCCTACCTCCAAAAGACATCTCTCAAATGTTGCAATCAGAAAGCCAGTGCTTTGCGTCCTTACCCACCTACTGCCATCAAGCTCATTCCAAGTTGTAACAACCCTATTTTCCAAGACTATAAATCTTTATGGAAATAGGTAACCTCTTCCTTCTCCCAAAGAGCATCCAGTGGGTTTGAACCACTGACCTTAAAGTTTGTGCCCAATTGCCTACAGCATTCAGCTTAATTAAAAACAGTCTTGTAGGGGGAGAAGAGAGGATGTCATCATCAAACACTTGGCCAGTTCTTATAATGCGCTAGATTTCATTTTCATGGCCCCTGAAGGAAACCTGGTAGCTTAGTGAATTACCTGTTGGGCTGTTAACTGCCAATTCAGTAGTTTGAATCCACCAACTTTCCTGGGGGAAAAGATGAGATTTTCTACTCCCATAAAAATGTACAGCCTCGGAACCCCAAAGAGCTAGTTAGTTCGCTCTGTCTTCCAGGGCCACGGTGAGTCAGCACGGGCTTGGTTTAGTTTGGTTTGGTTTCCTGGCCTCCCTCAAGGCAGCTACCCACCTACACAGCGAAACACCCTCTTCCATTGCTCTGGGGACACCCAGTGTTTTATTTAGGCAGGTCTCTTGCTGGTGGTACAGTGGGTTAAGCAGCAGGTTGCTAACTGCAAGTTTGTCAGTTCAAATCAGCCACTCATTGAAATAAAAGCAGTTATCTGTTCTCATAAAAATGTAGTCTCCGAAACCCTGAAGCGCAGTTCTACTCTGTCCTATAGGGCTGGCGTTGAAATAGACTAGCTCAGGTCACTCAGTTTCTGTAATTGACCTGAAGGCTACAGGAATGATCACAGAAGCCTCAGCCTCCGCAGCTTCCTCCCTCCCAAAGACTTCCTCCTGCCCGGGCTGAGCCCCAGGTAACCTGCGTTTTATCATCACAATGGAATGCAGCCTTGTAATTGCCCTTAGGCCAATTCTTGTTTAAACTACTCTCTCCATATCAGAGAGAAGCAGTCTTTGCCCCCACACCTGGAGGCTGGGATCATAAAACATGGCGCCTAAGACTTTACCTAAATATACTCTTATTTTACTTCTGTCAATACCGCTTACTTAGTGACATAAGCATCTCTAACTTGTTTGTTTGCTCTCTGTATTCTGCTTGCTCCCTAAATGATAGAATAGCTTCGGCCAAAGACCAGTCGCCCTCTGCAGTATGGTGGCCCGCTCCTTTTAAGCTTCCCTCTGCAGTCCAGGCTAGCCGACAAAATAAAGACTTCAGGTAATTGAAGCGGACATTGTAGTGGTCTCCATTTACTCAAACCCACAACACTGTGAGTCAGAACCGACTCCGTGGCAGTGGGTTTGGTGTTTTGGTTGAGTGGTGGCAAGCAGTTCGTATTCACCTACGGACTTAAAAGTTGGCCATGTTAGTTCACACGCTGGCACTGCAGTAAAGGCCTAGTGATCTACTTCTAAAAGAATTACAGCCGAGAAAACCCCATGGGCAGTTCTACTCTAACACACAGGAGATCACCAGGAGCTGGAATGAATGGGATTGATCCAATGCAAATGGGTTTTGGTCTCTCCTTTGTAGAGACAGCTGTATTTCCACTTAACTCTTGTTGCTTTTTTACATTTCAATGAGTTAAACTTGAATAAAAGAGAAAATTCCTTTTTTCAGTCAAGCTAGCCATATTTCAAGCGCTCAGTAGGCACATGTTGCTAGTGGTTTTTATATTATGTCACACAGAGAACATTAACTCTTGCCGAAAGTTCTACTGGACAATGCTGTGTTGGAGGAGCACATAGGCTAATACTGCTTCGTTTCTCTGTCCTTTTGATCAGTTGTTCCCCTCCCATAGGGATTCCTCTCACTTCCACACACTGGATAAGATCTGTGATAGGAAGCAAAGTGCACGCAACATCAACAGCCTACAGCAATGAGGGAAAGTTCCCTGAAGAAATGGTATTTAAGCTGAGATCAGGATTATTAAGGAAGAGAACCAAGTTAACTAGATAGGAGAAGCTATTTTTTATAAATGAAGATGCCTTGAAAAGAGAAACGAGTCAGATGCATTCTGAATAGATGTAAGAAATTCAGTTTGACTTAGAGAAATTTGTATCAAGAATATGGCTCACACAATTGTACAAGCAGGTAAGTCCAGTCCAGTTTCAAGTCTGTGGGTTAAGCTGAAGGCTTCTGACTCAAGTACCTTCAGGGGCTGATGAACCCAGTATCTGCAAAAACAACACAAACTGCAAAGGCAGATGAATACAAGGTCACAGGTCAGAGGGTGGGCCACCAATGGCCCCTGGGATAAGCAAGCAATATGGCAAGCTATTGACTCAAGTTCAAAAGCTGGAGGTCTTTAAACAAGTTGGAGGATCCAGACCGAGCAAAAAGCAAGCAAGCTTCCTGCACTGTATAGTTAGATGGGCAGCACCCTTTCAATCACCTCAAGGTGTAGCCTGAGAAAAGGAATTGTGTTGTTCCTGTTGTTGTTAGGTACCATCAATTCAGTTTCGACACAAAGCAAACCTATACACAATAGAAAGAAACACTGCATGACCCTGCGGCATCCTCACAATTGTTCCTATGCCTGAGCCCCTTGATGCAGCCTGTGTCAACCCATCTTTGTCATGAGCCTTCCTCTTTTTCATCACCCCTCCGCTTTATCAAACATGTCCTTCTCCAGGGACTGGTCTCTCCTGACAATATGTCTAAAGTATGTCAGATGAAGTCTTACCATCCTTGCCTCTAAGGAGCACTCTGGCCTTCATCCAATGCAGATGTTTATCCTTTTAGCAGTCTATGGTCCTTTCGATAGTCTTCTCCAACACCACAATTTAAATGTATCTATTCTTAGTCTTCCTTTTTCATTGTCCAACTTTCACATGCATATGATGCAATCGAGAATACCGTGGCATAGGTCAAGGCAAACTTAGTCTTCAAAGAAACATCTTTGCTCTTCAAAAACTCTAAAGAAGCCTTATGCAGCA